CTGACACCCTGAACAATTATCAGAACATCCTGTGAACACTCCCCCTTTCAACAATTTGACCTTCATAAAGCTCAACGGAGTCTTCAACTTCTCTACGTCAGCTATCAAATTTAGCTTTTCTCTTTCAATGATAGCATTAGTCCTTGCTACCCCGTGGTTCGGCATAGGGCTCTAATTTATATTCGGACTGTCATTGGTAAAATTAATGGCCTTGGAATCAAGCAAATCCTATACTTTGTGCTTAAAAGCTTTGCAATTATCGATAGTGTGACCGGAGCACAGGAATGGAAATCATACTTGGCATTTGCATCATACCCTGGGGGTGGCACGCTAGTAAGGGGCGCCAAAGTCCTCTTTTAAACCAACTGCAGTTGTAACAATGATGTAGTAATTGAGAATATGGCATGGGTGGAGTTTCAAATTATTTGTCAGCCATTCTCTGCCTTGCCATGTAAGGACACAGAACGTTAACTCGTTGCTGAGGTGCGGCCGGAATAGCCACAGTAGCAACTTGATGCTGTGTTCTGCCCTTATCTATGTATGTAATGCAATTTGTATCCCCTTCTCTGCTCTTGTGATTGGCAGAATATACTTTCTCCGTTCCTCCTACAGAAGACCCACCAGCATTTGAGATTTTTTCGGACTTGATTTCGCTCTCTACGCGTTCTCCAGCCATCACTAGATCAGAAAACCCATCAGTTATGCATCATATCAACTTCTCAAAGTACACACCTGGTAATGAAGCCATAAACATATCAATTAGTTCTCTCTCTTCCATGGGAGGTTGAACTCTTGCAGCTACATCACGCCACCTCTAGGCGTATTCCTTGAAACTTTCATTGCTCTTTTGTGATAAACTCTGCAATTGCATCCTGTTTGGCACCATGTCACTATTACATTAGTAATGGTGAACAAAATCCTCAACCAGCTCCTTCCAGCTACGAATATACATGGTGCATTAGTCACACCAAATGGCATCAGGAAATACTCATAATGTCCATACCTTGTTTTAAAAGCAATCTTCTGAATATCTTCAGCCTTCACATGAATCTGATGATACCCAGATCTCAAATCTATCTTACTGGACACACTTGTAACAACCAACAGGTCCATCAAATCATCAATCCTTGGAAGTGGATACTTATTCTTGATAGTCACCTTGTTCAATTGTCTATAATCCACACAAAGCCTCACAAAACCTTCTTTCTTCTTAACTAACAAAATTGGTGCACCCAACGGTGACACACTCATACAAATGAATCTCTTCTCAAGCAGATCTTCAAGTTGACTCTTCAACTTCTTCGATTGCAATGTGGATATCCAATATGGAGTCATCGCTATCAAACTAGTGCTAGAAACTAGGTCGATCGTAAACTCCACTTCGTATTCCGGCGGTAAATCACTTATCTCATCAGGAAAAACTTCCGGATAATCACAAAAAATTGGAACACCACCAACTTCCCCACTTCATTAACACACAAAGTTTCCATCAAAATAAACATCTCAGCACCATCCTGCACCAACTCATCAAAATAATCTGTGAGCACTTAGCTTAACTCGAAACAATTCACTGCATAAGCCATCTAAGCTTGCAAGACACGTCTATCCCATCCAACATGACTATGTCTTCTATCAACAAGAGATTAAGGGTGATCAGTTCCTCAATTTGTCAATAGACAGCCGAAAATCATGATGGGGCATAAACCATCTTTACCAAACTATAAGAGCGTTCATCGACACATTGAGCCACCACTCCACACTTGAAGCATCCTGGAGAAGCACAAGCTTCTCCCCCACTTGTTTCAATCCCACTTCTGCAGACAAAGGTTAGAAAACAAACGTGTACCGACAGTGTTTTCACACACATGTCGTATACTAGGGAAAAAATAACATTAGACAACATGGCCGGACGGACCAACCAGGCTCTGATAGCACTAATGTAACACTCTTTTCTACCCCACGAATATTATGGCAAAATAATCAAATTTATCAGAGTAAAATTTTAAACACTACAAAATCACCGCAAAGAGCGTACATTTCTCAATAAATTCAAATCAAGGTCAATGCTCCGTAAGCAACGGGTTTTCTCAAAATTACTCAAAGTGCTCAAATGGCAGCGGAACTCAAAACAAATCCAAAGTTTTTCTCTTACCGCAAGGAAATTAACATAACAAAAAATTTAATAAAATATAGTTTTACTCAAAGACCCCAACCCGATGTTACATTATCAGAGCAAGACCCTCTAAGTCAACCATAATGGCGAACGACCCAAAAACTTCAAAAGTCCTTGACGACATCAACGACTAAACCTGGTCATCTGCATGTTACCCACGTGGAGGAAACATTCAAACAGGCAGAGTGAGTAAAACGATTCATAATAATCTATATATGAATTAATATATAAACAGCGTCATTTTCATATTATGCATCATCATATTCATCAATGGGCATCGAAGGCCATAACATCATAAATTACTTAAGATTGCCTCATAGGGACATCAAGGAAACATCAAAAGCCATAACATCATAAATTACTTAAGATTGCCTCATAGGGTCATCAAGGAACACCAAAGGTCATAATATCATAATTACACCAAATTATCTCATAAATGCAAATGCAACAAGACTCATGCATGTGGTACCAATCATCACAGCTCGATGGACACTAGGCCATCAATCCTCCATAGATCCCCATCATTATGACTGATTCTATACAAGAACCAGAGCATATCAAAATAACTCACATCCATACAATGGGATTGAAGCCAAAGAAATCAAGGTTCTGAATCGAAGTCCAGATGCATATGAATGCATGATGCACACGTCAATAATCATCCTCATAATAACATCATAGGTGCATCATCATTCATCAAAATCATCATCATAAATCATGTCATCATAGAATCATCAAAAACTCATGGAAATATCATTATAGCTCATCATCATTACTCATAGGAATCATCATTATACAATCATGTATTAATCTCATCAGAGTCATAGTTATACTCATGGTAATTCATCATGCAATCACGTATTTAATCTTATAAAAATATTAGACAGTGAATTATCTTATTTATACTATGTTATATCCCTGTTCATTATCTTTTCAACGCTTCGAATGGGGGGCAAAACAGACTTACAGATCAAAAGTTACGTCCAAAACAATTTCGACCGAAAACATGAACAGTCGTGACGGACAACATGCAATTTTATGCGTTTTTCACCGTTGGAGACCTTCCGGATCTCCGATTTTAATTCCGTAAAAATCTAAACTCTCAGCAAATTACAACTCATCCAATACTATAATTAATTCAAGTAAATTTACAATTTTAACACAATTAGACAATCTAATCATTGTTTTAAGATTATGCCTAAAACCTTTACAGGTTCAATTCTGTATCATATTTACGCCTCTAACTCCCATAATTTCTTACAAATACCTCACAGTCATTAGAGTTATCATAAATTTAAACAATCTCCACAACAGATTTTGGCCACAAAGGCCTAATTTTCTTTACTCTCAAATCAACCTCAAACCTATCAGACCATCAGTTCAAATCCCTATACGGTTAAAACCTCAATAATATATTTTGACCATGAAGGCCTACTTTCCCTCAAACCCAAATCGACCTCAAACCTATCAGACCATCAGTTTAAATCTCTATACGGTTAAAACCTCAATAATAGATTTTGGCCATGAAGGCCTAATTTCCTTTATCTCAAATCAGCCTTAAACTCTTTAAAACCTTAAATCAGCTTTAAATACATTGAATCACATATTGAAAACAATAAATGCAATACTCTCCATACCTTAATTGCCGACTCTAAGTCTTTCTCTTTGATTCTTGGAAACCTTGCGAAGCTTTTGCCTCAATCCTCTTTCTCAGGGTTTTGGCCTTTATTTCTTCCCTTTTCACGGTCTTTTAGGAATGAATCATAATTCCCTCAAAATTCCTTTTTGTTAAACCTAACTTTGGGCCTTAAAATTGGGCTTTTCAACTTCACCCTTACTAACTCCTCCTTAAATGTCCATTTCCCCCTTAATTCACTTATATTTATTTAAATTAATAATAATATCAATATATTCATATTATATACTATTATTTAAATAAATAACCCAAAACTCCATAATTCTCAATATTTCATACCAACCACCGAAAATCACCAAAAATACGAATATTCATATTTAAATAAATTAAATAAATATTTCAATAACTTTGGGGTGTTACATAGAGGACCCTCAAGGTGTGTGTTGAGCCATAGAACAATGTCTTGCCCAAAGGACTAGCCACAAATGCCTTTTGACCAAAACCCTATTCTAGTTGCACACAAGATAGGAGGAGGTGATCAATGCTTGTATCCTTGCTTCAAGTGGATGTGAGACATGTCTTGATGATTAGAGGACACTGGGGCTTGAGAATACCACAAGGTTGAGAATAAACTCTTGCTTGAGCTTTGAGGATGAAGCTCTTCTCTTGAGTGTTGAACAAGATATGTTGATCCCCGGCCTAAAACCAATGCTACGCACAAATGTTGATACAAAATGGTATGGAACATAAGTTAAGATATAAGAAAAAGGGTGAGCAAATTTTGGGATGCTACACTTATTAGTGTCAAATACTTTATCAAGTCTAACAATTTAAAAATCAGGTATAAACAAATAGTCCTGTCAAAATCATATTTTGTAATAATATTTTAAAGCCAAAAAATATTTGTCGATTTATAATAAAAAAATTTAGAATAAAACTATATTTTTTATATCATTTTTGGTTAATAAAGTTCTATTTTATTATTATTATTTTAAAAAGTTATTTATAATTTTTTAATTGTTAGTCCATGTTATGCCTATGGTTGGCTATTGAAGGACGATACAGTTAAGGCTGGGTTTCATGGCATGTAAGGCTCCCGGACAGTTTGGTATCAGAGCCTGAACAGAAAAGAAGGGGTGCATATGGTATGAATATAATAAAGAGAGTGAGTAAGGGAGAAATCACTTAAACATGGAAACACCAGAACCAAACACTCAACCTATTACCACTACTTCTTCTTTATCACTTCCTAAACTCTATAAAAAGACTAATTCCCATAAAATAGAAAACCTTATTGAGTACTCTCATGTTCCTGAAGATGCTCAAATTTCTGAAAGAATACCTCCTCTGTTGAGTCCGTACAACATCTTCAAAAGACAAAGAAGTGTTACCAGATCCATCCGAAATCTTATCTCTACCAATCGTCCTCATATGAAAGAGTACGTCCAGTCATCTAGACTAGACCAATGCAGTCTAAGAGCTAAAAACCAAGAGCAGTATGTAGATTTGGAGATTCCCCAATATCTCATAAACCACTGGAAAACTGAAGGATATACAGCCTTACACTTCGGGGCTGTCAGACTCATCCTTTCTCTTCATGGAAGGAAGAACCAACCTGTCTTTTGCAAAATAGCTCTTCTGGACTCCAGCTACCTCCATTATAAAAATGCTAATAGTTCTAACTACACTTCATGCAGGAAGTGTCGTCCTCACCATCTTCCCTAACTATAATGTGAGTCTTAATGATAACACCTTGTCCACAAGACTGAAAGTACAGATCCAAATCACCGGAACTGACCAAGTTCTTGAAGCTATGTCAGCTACCCTCCATCACCAGATAATATACCTCTTAGAAAATCACTCGATAGATCTTCCTATCTCAGGATGCTCTTCTGATTCACTATTGGTTGTCACCAATAGAGAAGAAGACATACCCTCCATAGTCTAGATTCCGAGAAAGATCACAAGGGAAGAATTAACTCAGCTAATTCCCCTTGAATGGATAACCAACTATGAGAGACTTCATGTTGACAGAAGACCTATCCAATCTCAAGAGGCTACTTTCAGGAGATCTATTGACAAAACAGTCAAGACGATCTTTAAGAAACCAAACGAAGGGTCGAGCTCAATATCTTCGATCTTCCAGACAATGATGATTCAACTAGTTCTCAAAGAAGATTGGTGTCCCGTCTATGTTGTTACAACAGAGGCAAAACCTATCTACACCGATAAAATAGATGGCCACTTCATTTGGGATGTTGATCCAACAAGATGTGACCCAGATTGTGACTGTTGGATGCACGATGATGATATTGACCGAGATATCATTCTTCCTAAAACAAAGAAAAAGGGAAGGTGCAAACCCTCGCCACCTCCTCAAAGGAGATTTGATCCAGACAATGGGCCATGGGTAGGAATCCATGGAAAAAACAAACCCCTCTGTATCTACGAGGAAGGACTAAAAATCCTCAAGAGAGAAGGATTGTTACCACCTGATGATCCGAATCTTCTTACATGGTCACCAACAGACCATTGTAAACCGTTACATCCCCCAGCTGTTGTTCAACCAATTCCTTGCTTTATGTATTCAACCACGACTTCAGAGTATGAACGACAATTTCTAGCTTTGGAAAGAAAGATGGATACAGTCACAGGCAGAACATCCAAACCCTTCATTCATCTGAGTGAAGTCCAGCCCGATGGGAAGCTTAAACCTTTAACTCAGGCTGAGGAAGTTCTGAATTGGAAATATGATAATATGGTTTCTCAAAATGAAATTCTTCAAAACCTTGACAAAAAGGTAGATAAGATTGCTGAAAAAATAGACGAGACAGATGAAGATCTCAAGGTTTTATCCCAAAAAATGCAGAAACATTACAGAAGCTTGAAAGCCCAATTATCCCAGCTAGATCGATATTTGCGGCAGATGTTAGAAGAAAGAGCTTTTGGTAAAACATTTGACCAAAAGGAAAGAGAAATCAGAAGTCTACAAAGCCAAGTAAAAGAGATAGGTGATTTCTTAAGAGCCTCTCATGAAAGAAAGCCCAAACCGGTTGAAAACTCTTTCTTGGATCCTCCTACTTTTCCTACATATTTCAAACGAACAGAAAGGACTTCTCCTTTCTACCCTGCTTATGATTCATCACAATCAGACCAAGTTAAATATATACCAACAGCCTACATACCAAGATCTTCCAGAACTACCACTACCTCAACCTCCAAAACAAAGGGGAAAGCTGCCTGCTTAAGCGCTTCATCCTCAGACTCTCAAGATATCCCTGAAACACCCCCTTCAAAAATCCAAAAGGAAGAAGAAATTCCTAATAAAAGCTTCCAAGCCATGGCAATCACTACAAATCATGAATCTCCTCAGAAAGATCACTATGAATCATCAAAACAAGAGGGAGACGAGTCCTTCTCAGATGATGACAACAACTCTGATCCAGAATCATCTTCAAATGAGACACCAAGATTTTTTTCAACTAAATCAGGATCTGAAGACAACTATTTTCCAAGACTCTTCATGACGATTGTAAAAGAGGAAGAATCCTTTTTTGAAGAAGAATCCCCTAAGGAAACTCTTGTCCCTGAAAGGACTAAACCAAACGGAGGTCCTTGGTTCACTTTTGATGATATACCACCTAGCCGTTGGAGAAAAAGACTGCTGGAATTTGGAGCTTGGCTTGACACCCAAATGATGAAAACAAGTGCTGATAGCTATAAGATCATTGAAGAATTTTGTTGTAGAATGACGGGCACGAAGAAATAATGGTATCACAATCTTGGAGCTTTCAAACAAGATGAGTTACATCGTCTAGAAACTACAGCTAGTGTTCTTGGGGTTCTTCACCGAGAATTTATCGGTGATATGGAAATATTTGGTAGGAAAAATAGACAAGAATTCTTTGAGATGAAGTGTTGTTCTCTCAAGACAAAAGACCTCGACAGGCATTATCATAGGATGGCACAGAGGTATTATGTCCTTAATGGGTACAATGACCCAAGTCTCAAGAATACCTATTGTTGCACCCCAAAGTTTGACCAACAATTATTTATCCATCTAGTGTTTGAGAGTTGATACCTTCATCAGAAAGTTCAAGAGATCCTCAGAGGAGTGGGTTGAAACCAGGATTGTGTGCTTCATAGCTTGAGAGTTGTGGGTGCCCCTCAGATGATTCTGAGACTTTGAGAATGAACTTGATGTTTTGAGAAAGCCTATGAGATGTCTTGATAGCCATCATGAAGCCCAGAGAGGTCATTAGGCAAGAATTCAGAAGATTCAACCATGATTGGTAGAATTAGGGTTTTGACTGGGTCAACCCTAGGATCACTGAAGATTTGGAGAAGGTTGAGACCTAATCCAAGGGCTATGAGATCATGGAATGATGCATAAAGATGTTATAAAGATGATTCCTAGACCAACTCATCAGGATTGAGGAGTTTGAGAAGTTTCAAGTTAGGGTCTCCAAGGATTGTCAGTGAAAAAACCCTAGTTTGATCCCCATCTTCCAGGCAGTTTTAGCTCTAGATGTGATTGATATCTCATCTTCCCCACAACATCAATGTTGTAGAGCTTGTTCTTAGCTTTAATTTGAGTGGTGGAAGTCCTTGATAGGAGTTACATAGCTCAAGTTATGGTTTTGACAAATTACAGGTCAGCTGAGGTGTGTGAATCTGGGTCCTTGAAAGTCACCCAACTTGCAGACAACTTTTGCCCTAGTAGGATGATTCCTATGATTTCTTGGTCAACATGAATGTTGAATAGCATCTTCTTAGCTTTAATTTGAGTGGTAGAAGTCCTTGATAGGATTTGGGGAACTCAACTTATGGATTGAGCAAGACAGGGGTATTTTGGTCATTTGTCAGTTATAGGCCATTTTAGCCAATGCCTAAAACTCCTATTTCCAAGCCTCAAATGGAAAAACTCAAAACATGAAAGTTGTTCAAAATGTGATTTTAAGTCTAGAAAGAAGGTCATAAATTGTTGGAAAAGCTCATAGCATGGATTTGCATGATTGGTCAAAAATGAACTAAAAATGGCATATAAGTTTAAAAAGTTGGAATTGGAAATTGGTTTGGAAGATTTAGGAATCCAAATGGGGTCATCCAATATATCATTTTGATTGGAAAAACCATTCTAAAGACAATGGTTCAAGCACATTTTTGAGTTTAGTGGAAAAAATAAAAGTTACTTAAGGTTACTTATGATTAAAGAAACATAACCAAGTTGGATCAAGCTTGGAATGCAAGGGAAAGTGTAAGATGGTGCTGGAAACTTCCATTGAGTGCTATATAACCATGAAATGAACATTGAGCAAGGGTTGGATTCTCATTTTTGGGCAAATACCTCACAAATTCTCTCATTCTTTCTCATTGCATTTTGATCCCAATTCCACAAAACCTTCATCAAATCATCACCAATACTGATTTCACCATATTCAACCATCATCATGGATTAGAATTCAGCCAAGTTTGGATTGCAATTGGTTCAGTTTAGTGCACTTTCTTCATCAAGACACAAATTGCAATTTCAAGTGGATCTCAAGATTCAAGCGTGCTACACAAAATCTTTTGCATACAGAAAGATCATCACCAAGAAAAGAGTGATTTTGGACAGTTTCAGGCATTGAAGAGGAGTATAACCATTGCTGCCATCACCAAGTTGCAGGTTTGTAAGTTCATTCGATTCTCTCTGTTTGCATAGTTTTAGATCATGTGGTTAGGGTAATTATGACTAGCAACCATTAGGGATGGATCCTGAGAAGTTAGAGCTCATTCTGTGGAGTTTAAGAATTGGACATCATACTTTGAAGATCAAGAACTGGCTGGTTATTGAGTTTTAACATTAATGCTTTAGTTTAGGTTGATCAGTGATGCATGAAGATTAGTTTAGTACCAAGAATTTGAGGTTTCGTGAGGGTGAAAACCTTGAGCATTAATGGAGGTTGAGCTTCGGGTTTGCAGTTTGAGGCTGTTTTAGTGCAAGCTGAGGGCATGGTTGTGTTTGGGGAGGAAAGCTGAGCAAGTTTGCTTTTTACATGAGGGAGTTTGGCTGAGAAACGAGAGAGAATAAGCTGGTAGAAGGTGGCTGCATGAGAGAGTCGTGCATGGCTGTATCAAACCCTAACCAGACGTGAGGAAGAAGATAGCTGTCCGTCGTTGGATCAGGTCAAGGAAATTGACTGGGATGTTAATCGCACGGTTGTGGTTTAAACGCAGAAACGGAGGGAAACTTGAGCTAGCCAAACGACGTCGTTTGGTTTAGTGAAAATTCTGGGCTTACCCGCTTCATATCCGCACCCCCCTCACACGCTGGCCCAAATGAAATGAACTATCTGGCCCTTCTATTTCCACCCCCCTCCCTTTTATATTATTTTGACTTCTTTTAAATTCTTTTAATATTTTTGCAATCTTAATAAATTCATAAGTAATTGATAAATAATGATTTTTTGGTCATTCTTTTTTCTATGTTGAGATAATTTTGTGTAGAAAAATATAAAAATAAAAATGAAATTTTATTTTTAATGTAGAATTTATGGTGGTATTTTCTTTTAAGTAGGACAATTATTTTCTTTTGGTTGATACCTTATTTTGCAAGAATTGTTTTAGGACCTTCCCTTAGGATTTTTAAGCCATTCTTTTGGCATAGTTAGATATTGAACCCTAGTTTCATGTAGGATTTATCCCTTGATTTTAGAAATTAAATTTGATGTAGTTTGATTGTTAGACATTTAGGTGCTCTAATTAGGGTTTTAGGTTGTGTAGGTAGACTTCAACATTTTATTTTTGGGATTTATAGGCCAAATTAGTGTATGGGGAATATATGGGTTAAGGGTAAGTATGTATAGAATCCCCTAGAATTTATATTAGGAATTTGTATGGTATTTTAGTATTTTTCATTGATTTTTGAATGTATGGATAGTATGTGTGTTGCTTAAAGGCATAAGTTGTATTGTTGTGTTTTCTTTCCTTCTCTGTTGAGTGTGTGAGCTTTGAAGATTGAGTTGAAGACCTTGTGGATCATCATGGAAGCTTTGAAGACCTTGCATAGGAGTTTAGCATAGCTTTTGTTTGTTTTGTTTATAGGTTGATAGGTGCATAGGCAGAGCCCTAGATAGAATACTTTGTTCAATAAACAAGGAGTGCTTTGTTCACCTCCTTTCTTCTCTATGACATAGAGTCCCTTAAGGGTATTCACCTCTCTCCTTTGGAGGGATTAGTGACCTTGCCCTATAAGGTAGAACTTTGAGAGAGCCTTTCCTTTGATGTTAAGTCCTTAATGGCATCCTTTGGAAGTCAGTGAGCACTGCAACATCCCCCACTCATCTTGTTGACTGATTCTTGTTTGCTGGAGCATTGGAGCCATTGAAGATAGAAGTTGAGGCCTTGAAAAGGATGATTCCTTGAAGATTATTGAAGTCTGAAGACTCTGTGAAGACCAAGTGGATGCCTGAAGATCCCTGGAGATAGTGAAGCCTGAAGGTAGAGCTGATCAAAGGAGCTGAAGCTCAAAGGGAGAAGATGAGTTGACACTCATGTTGTAGGGTTGATACCTGGAAAGCAAGTGATCTCTGAAGTCTGAAGACTGGGTTGCTGCTGGAGGAGATGAGGCTTTCTTCTGTTTTTTTTTTGGTGTATTGTGTGTTTTGTCTGATTTGTCTGCTGCATTAGACTAAGCACATTTAGAATAAGTTCAGTCTAAGAGCATGAGTGCATCTGATTGTATTGTTATTGCTTGGCTTTGCTTGCGGGTATTCGGTAGAGCCTAGCTCCCTTGCCCATGTGTTTATTTTGCTTGATAGCATTTCAGTTCTTTTGTCTGTATAATTACAGTTTACTGTTTTTGCTTGATAGCATGTTGTTTATTTTCAGTATGATTACTGTTATTTCATGACTGGCTTGAGGTTGAGAAGAGCTTGTGGAGGCTGAAGCCCCACACACATTTCCTCCCTCACTTGCATTGCATGCATTTTACTGTTAAAGCTGATGCTTTTGTCTGTTGTGGTGTATCATTGACATGATCCCTTAGGACTCTCATTTCCTTTGATAAGGATTTGATGATAGACTTTTAGGTTGAAACCTATGCATGACAACATCTAGGAGTTCCCTGTTCAAACCTCAACCATAGGATGAATCCATGGCATGATAACTGTAGGACTTGATAGTCTCCCTCCTAGTTGGGCCTGTTCTCTTCTCATCTCGAAACAGTTTAAGATACAGTAATCATGAATGATTTCTTTCGTACGTTACGAGCCTTAAGCTATCTGAGAAAGGATTGTGGGAGAGTTTCTTTTCCACAGTCTGGATGTTTAGTATGGTACCCTTTGGGTGACATGCGACGCATTCACTCTCAGGTCATAGTCTCTAGTGCGGTTGAAATCGCAAACATAATAAAAAACACTTCTTTTAGGAGATAACCCGTAGTTTCCCGAACTACGTTTGCTCTGATCTTTCATACCAGATGAAAGTACGTAGGCATAGGATGCGACGTCCTAGCGAGCAACCTTTCCCCCGGAGTTAGCCGAACTACGTTGACTCTGATTTCTCATTCTCTGATGAGAATACGTAGGCATAAAGTGCGACGCTTTGCCGAGTCATTTTTCTTTTCTTTTTCAGCCAGCCTTGATAGGTAGATAGATTATAACCAACCCGTCCAAGTAAACAAACAAGCGAGGATCCCGTCGAGTACGACGGACGTGAGGGGTGCTAATACCTTCCCCTTGCGTAACCGACTCCCGAACCCAGACAATGGTTGCGACGACCTTGTCT